TCACATACCAGGGCCCTAATACAGCTTCTGCGGATCCCAGGTGCTAGATGATAATATGCAGACCTCCCAGGATCTGGATAGGGAGGCTCTGCAGCAGATATGTATCCAGTACTAGAAACAAGGTAAGACTAGAATAGGCACCTAACAAGATAAGACAAGACTACAAGAACCCAGAACTGGAGCAGGACAGAAAGCAGAACCCAGAACATGTACACAATACATGAGGCAAACATGAACAGGGCAGGATTGTACATGAACTGGGAATACAAGACAAATAAAACGAGACAAGAGATACACGGCAAAATAAGAGGAGACAAACTAAGTGCTATATATGTAATAAACATTGGAGATTTAAACATGCATAAATGGCCAAGATGTATGCAGCCCACCACTGCGCCAATATACTCCAATTACGGTGGGTCCTAACTGCCTAGGTATCCTTGACTAAAAGTACAATAAGAAAACACACACAGCACTTACCTGGAAGGAAAGGAGCAGAGGAAATGAGACCACTGCCTGCAAGAACAGACTGAAACAAGAAGGATTAATGGCAAAGGAACAGGTGTGACAACAAAAAAAACAAACATATTAAAGAATCCAGGAGACTGGGAATTCCAGGAACGGAATACAGGAATGAACCCAGAAAACCCAACATGAAGAAAACCAGACATGGAATGGAAAACCAGGAAAACCAAGAAAAACTAACAAGAATTGAAAAAAGAGTACTGGATATCAGAAGCCAATGCCAGAAATGATCCACAGCCAGGAACAGGATGTGACAGTTGGTCACCATAGAAACCAGTATTCTCATTCCATTGGTGACTTCCCCCCTTTTACATATTAGACTACTTTTCAGAACAGAGCACTTTGATACATCACCCCTCCCCCAGTCCAGGCTATCTAAGTTCCATTCATTTATTGACCACCTCTCTAATCCATATCAGAGCGCAATGGCTTTGGGACATAGTGGAGAGAGATTTTTATTATAACTGATAAAATATACTGTAACGGCACCCCCAGGCATAAAAGGGGTTAGCAGCCGTTTAGGAGATATTCCCTTCCAGATATACAAGCAGCTACTGTAGACACCAATCCACCGAACCGGAGAAGCATATGAATGCCGTAAATAGCTGAACCGGAACCATACGTATGCTGTAAACAGCCGAATAGGAAAAACCATACGAATAGGTTTACACTCCTAGCAGTCAAACTGGAACAGCATACAATAAATCCCCCCAAGAACGAGACAAGGCTCCGTTTGAGGGTCAAGCAGGAACAGACAGAGCTGTGGGTTTATTGTTCTTATAAACACATTCTTACACATTAGTACCACCCACAGGGTTTTGGAAAACAACCAATAAACACGTACAATACACTCAGACACTCCCACACAAAATCCTCCCCTCTGCCTGTGATACAATGACCTTACACAATGGGTAATGTAATTATCACAGGCAGAGAAATACAGTTTTTCCACATTATTCATAATTTTAAAAGTATGCATCACTTTCACATAAAACTTACATTTTCAGAATCAGCATACTCCAAATACAAACATACGTCAAAATCATACAAATTGGTCCAGTGGTTCAAAAGATAGATCGTAGTCCTTTGTGACCAAATGAAGCATGGCTTTTCTGCCCAAAACCAGTTCCACAGAGTCTTCTATCCTGGAGATAATTGGGAAGTAATCCAATTATCTCCAAGGACAGAGGCAAAACTCCATTGAACACATGGCAGCAAAAGACAATAAAATACATAAAAATATATAACTGTGCAGCCACTGCATAAAACAGGTACATATCCCCAGATAGCTCAGATCTGAGCGCACATTATTACTGAATGGCGCTCAGATAACACACATACAGTTCAATTGCCATGGAGCCAAAGTCTTTCCCATAGTCTTTCATTATATGAATGGGCTCCATGGTAAAGCTATCTGGGGTATCACCACTCAAACAGGGCAAGCACCGAATGACCCGGCTTTTGTGTCTTTGCAGGGGAAAATCAAGCGTTTCAACATGGGGCCATAGTCTAAAGGCAGCAGGCGGACAACCAGGCTCCTCCAATGCAATGTGGCGAGATTGGTCTTGTCACATATACCTTTATAAACCATTATTTAGTGCACAGCTCCCCACTCCTAATAGTCATATAAAACCAAGAACACAACTGTCCCCTTTATCTAATATACAAATAACGGGAAACACAGCTTCTCCTCCTAATACACCAACAACAAGTCGTTATATACTATGTACAGTATATACTCGAGTATAAGTCTAGTTTTTCAGCACATTTTTTGTGCTTAAAAACACCCACTCGACTTTTACTCGAGTCACTGTCTGTATTATGGCAACTTAGAGAGCCGCGGCCGTCAGAGCCGTGGCAACGATCCGCGCGGCAACCAGACCACAAGACTTACAGTGGAGCTGACCGGAACGGAGGAGAAGGGAGCTGACAGGAGCTGCAGGAAAGGTAAGTAAATGCTTCCTGCCAGCCCTCCAACTTCACAGCACATGCCACTGGACCACCAGGGATTAAGATAGCCCCCCTCCCTGACCGGTTAACAAGCAGGGAGGGGGGACAAAAAAAATTTAAAATAATTTTTAAAAAAATATTAAAATAAAAAAAATTAAAATAATAAAAATGCCCTTCCCTTAACCCAGTTCACACACACTACACAAACACACACTCTTCATTATATACACACTCTGCATTATATACACAGTCTGTGTATATAATGCAGAGTGTGTGTTTGTATGAGTGTGTGTGTATATAATTATAAAAATCACAGAATTTCATAGCCCCAAGTTTTACCCTCGACTTATCCATGAGGCATAGCATATTTCACAATTGTTGGTCACAAAACTGCACTCGACTTATACATGAGATTGACTTATACACAGGGCCAGATTAAGAGCCCAGTGGGCCTGGTGCTGACAATTAGGACGGGCCTAATTACAGAATCATATCGACCAAAAACAGTAAAACACTCCCAAGCGTCATGTATCTGATGGAGATGGTGCTGGAGAGAAAGAAAACAGCAGCTATAAGAAAACACATACCCTAGGCTAATCTCTCTCTAATTTATGTTTTCATCTTTCAAGTAAATCCATAACCCCTAACAGCAGTGTCCAGTCAAGCAGGAAGTCAATGGGCATGGTAAAAGGGTGTGCCACTGACACAAATCACGTAACCTGCCAAAAGGGGCGAACATGCCCAAAAAGAGGACATGTCTGCTCAAAGAATTAGAAGGCCAGCCTGGCATGAATGCATGTCAGGCTGCCTGCCAATCATGCAGCTGGCCAACTAAGGGCATACTATGCAGACAGCACCCTGAGCTTGGCATAAATGCATCTAATGATGCGCTTGCTCAACGCTTTCTAAGGACTGTCCCCTAGCACTCGCTGGTCCACTTGTCTCTTACCTTCTTACTAGCAGGCAGAAGCTCCTGGTATATAGTCTGGGACAGAGAAAAGCTGTATGTAGTGAGTGTAGAAGAAAGGGAACATGCCACAGTGTTAGAGAGACCAAAGTCAGCATTACCTTAAAGGATCACTATAGGGTCAGGAACACAAACATTAATTCATGACCCTATAGTGTTAACACCACCATCTAGCCCCCCTGGGCCCTCATGCCTCCATAAATATAGCAAAATCTTACTATATTCAAGCCTGAAGCTGTAACTCTGAATGCTGTTAGACTCATAAAAACAAGCAGTCTGCTGACATCATTAGAAGTGGTGGCCTGATCCAATCACAGTGCTTCCCCATAGGATTGGCTGAGACTGACAAAGAGGCAGATCAGGGTCAGAGCCAGCATGATTCAAACACAGCCCTGGCCAATCAGCATCTCCTTATAGAGGTGAATTGAATTAATGAATCTCTATAAGGAAAGTTCAGTGTCTGCATGCAGACGGAGGAGACACTGAATGTTTGGATGCATTTTAGGCAGCCATGACCCAGGAAGGATCTCTAACAGCCATATAAGGAGTGGCCAGTGAAGTTATCACTAGGCTGTAATGTAAAGACTGCATTTTCTCTGAAAAGACAGTGTTTATAGCAAAAAGCCTGACGGAAATGATTCTACTCACGAGAACAAATTCAATAAGCTGTAGTTGTTCTGGTGACTAAAGTGTCCCTTTAACTATATTCATTGTCAGCCAGTCCACACAAGTTTTGTTCCCATACAACCCTCTTAAGTTTCCATACTTAAGTAAGAGTATGTGAAAAGTAGTTAGGGTTGCCACCTTTCTTGGAAAAACATACCGGCCTTACTAATTTGCATAATTAAATATGTATGGGTGACATCACATGTAAATCACAAGGAGTGACATAAGAGAAAATTCTGTAAAATCACCAAAAAACTACTTAGTTTGATTCTGCTGTATAGATGGATTCCTCCCAGTGCCCTCATGACTCAGTGCCCCCAAGTGTCGATTACTCCAGGTCTCAGTGTTCCTATGTATCAGTGTCTCAGTGCCCCATGTCTCCCAGTGTCTCCTAGTGTCGTGTCCCCAGGTCTCCCAGTGATCCTATGTATCACAGTGTCTCAATGCCCCATGTCTCCCTTTGTCCCTATGTCACTAGGAAGATGGGGAGACCTGTGGACATGGGGAGACCTTGGGACACGGAGACACCAGTGACACTGGGAGACTAGGGGACTCTGGCTGGGACACATTGGGACAATGGGAAAATAGGGGACACTTGAAGACATGGGGACACAGGCACCAGGGACACAGACACTAGAGACACAGGCTGGGGGACATGGGGACATTGTGACACTTGAGGCACTGAGAGACTTGGAGGCACTAGGAGACATAGGGACAGTGAGACACTGGCAGACTGGGGTCACTGGGAGACTAGGGGGCACTGGGAGACTAGGGGGCACTGAGACACCAGGGACACTGGCTAGGAGACATGGGGACACTGTGTCCCCATGTGTCTGTGCCATAATGTCTCCCAATGTCCCTTAGTGTCTCAGTGTCCCCATCTCTCCCAATGTCCCTTAGTGTCTCAGTGTCGGCCATAATGTCTCCCAATGCCCCTTAGTGTCTCAGTGTCGGCCATAATGTCTCCCAATGCCCCTTAGTGTCTCAGTGTATGTCTCCTTGCAGCCTTTCCCCCCATCCCTTACTTCCCTGAGCTGTAGGCTGTCTCTGCAGGGTGGGAGTTGCTGTCTGGACTCTCTGTAGCTGCACCCCTGCAGATCAGTGAGTATAGATAGGCAGGGAGGGATATGCTGGAACTTCCTATCCCTGTCTGTCTCCAGACACAGCGACCCCTACTGGCCAGTGTTGGTATTGCATAGTAATCTCTTGTTTATACTGAGAAAAATACCAGCATTTGTATTGCCAGTATCACTGTAATATTGGCACCAGCCAGGCAGCCTCAAATACTGGCTGTGCCAATAAAATAAAAGCCAGGTGGAATCCCTAAGAGTAGTGTGTGGAGAAAAAAAAATGTAAAAAAATGTAAAAAAATTTTTTTTTTTTTTTTTAAATCAATGGGCCTATTCCATGGGCCTGGGCCTGGAGCTGCAGCTCCATCAGCCCCTATGTTAATCCGGCCCTGCTTATACACGAGCAGATACGGTATATATTTTGCAGAACACGGATGCATTTTCCACCATAGATCAAGTGAGAGGAAGTAGTCAATAGAGGTAAAAGTGGGGGAGCAGTAAATAAAACTCTATATTTATATAAATCTATATTTTAAATGTATTAGAGATATATAATATCAATATATAAATATACAGATTTGTTTTACTGTTTCTCCTTTTCCATGTTTATTGGTCACTTTTCACTTGATCTGGCAATAAAATCAATATTTAGTGGTTGTCCCATAACCATCATTCATCTATTATCCAATCATCTCTTTTTTTTTTTTAAGCCACATACTGAACTCCAAATCACGAATAAAGTGAGACTGTTCGTCCATTGTCCGTTTCACTTGTTTTGTGATACGTCCATAAAGTGCTTCGGAGTTATGCAATTCAGACGAACTACCAGTCTCCCAAAATTCAGACGAATCGCACTTCATTTAAATTAAACGCACACGTCTATTGTACACCGCACCTTTGGAAACATATAACTTTGATGTTAGAGAATCTCGATGTGGATTGGAGAATTGTAGAAGTGAGACAGCGGGCTGGGCAGAGAAGCAAGCAAGGGAATTGTACGCGTTGATTAAAAAACAAAAATAAACAGGTCCCCAGACTGGCCCTGGCACAGAGCAACTCACTGTACAGATCTGACAGGATTGTGCCCACTTGGCTGGGTTTCAGCATGCAATGCGGTGCCAATGCTCGGTAATCTTTCTGCTCTGCCACAGATTGTCCTCAGGAAATCAGGGCATTGAAAATAACTATTGCCATTTACAGACAGATACTGTAGTCTTATTAATGCAGACAACCCTAAATACAGCTTATTAGAACTGCTATTTTTATTACATGCCTGCCATACTGTATATCTTTACTCACCTCTTTGTAGGTTAGTAGCTGCCTAATCCACAGTTGTATACCGCCTAACCTAGCAGTGGCTTAGTGTTGTAATGAAGCGTGTTTTATGTTGAGTCTCATAATGTCCAGTTTATAAGTCCAATTGCATCATAAAATGGAGTTTAAAATTGTTCAGGATTTATAAAGGTAACTTCATGTGTTCTACTTTTTGACTTGAGGCGTAATAAATTAGATTTTGTAATCTAGGTTACCCCCTAACAATCACCCGATCCACAACTACACGCAGCCTAAACTGGCAATCATCAAGCTTCACTGAGCACCTACCCGATTCACAGCTATATAATGTTATTGTTGACATTTATATATTGCTGCTATCAACGGTGTTTCACACGTATACAATAGCGCTATTTAAAGGAACACTCCAAGCACCATACTTCTTACCAGGGATCCATCAGGCACCAATCCCTGTCTCCACTACTTCTGATAGACTTGGAAGCTCTGTGTCTGAGCTAAGCCCTGCTGACACTCTCCAAGTCAATGTGCTAGTCGTACAATGCAGCGCTTAGCTCAGGAGAGCTAATGGAAGCTCCTAAGCAATAGCTTAGTGCAGAAAGTAGTGGAGACAGGTAGAGATATTGTCATATCCCAAGTAGGAAGTCAAACTGCTCTAAAACATATTGACTCTTTACAATGAAAGGGGGAGGGGTGCCAGGGAATTCTTGGTACCATAACCACTACAGCATATAACCACTAGAGTGTATTTAAAAGAAAAAAAAACTACCACAAGAGGACATAGTCTTAAATTAGAGAGACAAAGGTTTAAAAATAATATCAGGAAGTATTACTTTACTGAGAGGGTAGTGGATGCATGGAATAGCCTTCCAGCTGAAGTGGTAGAGGTTAACACAGTAAAGGAGATTAAGCATGCGTGGGATAGACATAAGGCTATCCTAACTATAAGATAAGGCCAGGGACTAATGAAAGTATTTAGAAAATTGGGCAGACTAGATGGGCCGAATGGTTCTTATCTGCCGTCACATTCTCTGTTACTCTGTTACTATCATGCTGTGGTGGTTATGGTGCTTGAAGTGTTCCTCTAACAAGAAGCATTGACAGATAATTATGATGTTAGCAGACACAAAAGGTAGAGAAGCCGGGGGGGCGGCGCCTGAACAGCAAGCTGAATGGTCGCATATTGAGGAAGCTCCTGCCACTAATGCTACAAAAAAAGCAATACGACTCCAACCAAAGCCTGAAAACAGGCCTTCACCATTGTGGCTTTCTCAAGTGGAGGTAGAACACTTCTACCTCCACTTGAGAAAACCACATTGGTGAAACGTGTTGTGGATATTTTAACTGTTTGTTTTACATTGTATTTTTACAAAGGTATTTTGGCCTCTTTCCACTGTGAGTGTGCCATTTTACTTTTTTATTTTTTTCTACCTGGCATCCGATTTTAGGTTCCAGTGATGAATCAGTACATCTGCCTACCTACACCATCTCAGGTATCCTATAAGTGGGGATTGTACCACTGTATGCCATTCAGACTAGAGCTAGGTTAAGCTCTATCAAATGTGAGTAGGACCATAGACGTTTTATTTACTTCTATGTTATTCTGGGATTTTCTGCACCATTAGTTCTCTCTTTCTGTTGTATATATGGCTGCCAATAATACTCTGATCTAACCCCATTACAGAGGAACTACTCTGACTCTTTGAGGTTTTATCTTCAGCATCTTTTACCATTTGGATTCACACTTGGACTTATATTAGAACTTTCTTTTGCTTTTTATTTTTTGTCCATATATATAGTATCCAAAAAGAAATGGCTGCTCACCGGTCTTTAAAAAATGAAATTTTATTTAATGAAGTTTAAAAATAGTGACCAACGTTTCAGTCCCCGTTCGGGACTTTCTTCAGGGTCAAAAAATATGTTTTAAAACATGTCTGTTTTTATCATTTCTGGTGCAACCTTTATCCCCCCTGTTTCACTCATCTCTGTTGTTTATAAGGCTTAGAGGGAGCCTTATGTATTAAAGTGTGTTGCCTACTTTCATTTTTGTATTTATATATATATATATATTTTAGTTCGGTATACTAGCGCTGATCCTTTTCTATCCTTTTGTCTAGTCATGAAGATAAGCCTGGTAGCAGCTTTTATTCCTAGGTTAAGGTGGTACAATGTGGGCATCTGTAAGGCTGATCAATAGTGAATTACAGCAGTCAATGTGGGAAATGATAGCAGCATCATGCATTAGAGGTGAATATGGGCAATATTTTAAGGTGGAAGTTACATAATACAGAGACAGACTGGATGTAGGAAGAAAATGTGAGATCTGAATTAAAAGTATTGGTGTTAGAGAATGGGGGTAATAGCTGCTCCATTTGCCTACAGATGGATAGATGGAGGTGGAATTTTTGAAGGCGATGGGTTCAGTTCAGTTTTAGAATGATTTGAATTTAGAAAATAGGGCAAAATGAATTTAGTGATAGAGAAGGGTCAATTAATTACACGTTTCAGGAGTGATAAACCTAAGTTTCATTAATATTTGAAAGTTACAGACATCCAAATGACCTAATAAGGTTACCAAGAGAGGCGGTGTAGATAGGGAACAAAAAGGGACCAGGAACTGAGTCATGGGGTGCCCAACCAAGATGGGTAATGATGAGGAGGTGGCACTAGAGAAGAATGTATGTACAAGTAAGGATGATTGCATAATATCTGGAGAACTAATTTTGTATAAGATTTCAATGACCCGTCAGCAAAAATATGTTGTGATGAGGATCTTAAACGCAGGATAAAATAACCCGTATAGAAATCTATGGTGTAAAGTTAAACCTATCATTAAATAAGTATTGACACGTTAGCAGCAGCTAATATTACATTAACAATCTTAAAGCAATCACAGTCTCATGATTCCAGTACTTTTCAAAAACACTTTTGCCAATAATTGGTTCAGTAACAAAGCTTCCCATATGTTATGTTAAACTGTCAAGGTTAGGCAATTACCGTCATTCCAACACTTTAACAGGACCATGCGAGTCTTAGCAACTTCAACGCCTAAAAGCACTTGATAAACTACTGTTTGTAACAGTTAACCAATGCACCAAACGCACATAAGAAGAGGTAACACCACAACCACCTCCCCTGCATTTAACCAGGCAATGTTACCTAATATACACTAACAATTCCTTCTTAAAGGGACACTATAGTCACCAAAACAACTTTAGCCTAATGAAGCAGTTTTGGTGTATAGATCATGCCTCTGAAGTTTCACTGCTCAATTCTCTGCCATTTAGGAGTTAAATCATTTTTGTTTCTGTTTATGCAGCGCTAGCCACACCTCTCCTGGCTGTGACTGACACAGCCTGCATGGAAACAAAATGGTTTCAGTTGTAATCAGATGTAAACGTTTTTATCTCCTGCTCTGTAAATTGAACTTTAATCACATGCAGGAGGCGTCTGCAGGGTCTAGCAAGCTATCAATAGGGCAGGAGATAAGAATGTCTAAATTAAACAGCATTTTCAATAAATGAAGTATAAACATTAGATTACTCTTTACAGGAAGTGTTTAGGAAGGCTGTGTAAGTCACATGCAGGGAGGTGTGCCTAAAGCTGCATAAACAAAGCGATTTAACTCCTAAAGTGCAGAGAATTGAGCAGTGAGACTGAAGGGGCATGAGCTATACACCAAAACTGCTTCATTAAGCTAAAGTTGATTTGGTGAGTACATTGTCCCTTTAATCAAAGCAGTTAAAGAAAAAATAAACACTGTAATACAAAATAACACAGGAAAATAAAAAATACAACAGATGCATATGTACTCTCCAACCAAAACGCTAGATCTGAAAGTGTTTAAATAAACACACGTGTCAATGTAATCCATTATTATCATGCTACATTTTAAAATTGGTCAAACAAACTGGTCATGGTGGAGATGTTGGAGCTGTTATGTGGGGCACTAGCTGGAGCTCATGGAGCTTTAGTTACCCAAACTGGCCATCAGTAGAAAGAGGATTCCAAGATGGCCCCTGAAGAATAAAAAAAAAAGGACAAAATTAGGCAATACCAAGGTGTACCACACAAACGCCATCTGCTGGTGAGGCACTATAACTACAATGAGAGTGTAGAGAATGTTTAATGGAAGCTCTTGTGTGAGTAATGTAAATAGAGAGTTTTTGTTGGGTTACTTGGGCGATGTATCTGAAAATGTAATTAGAACTATCTTGTTAGGAGTACCTTCAACATATACTGTATCTCCTGGAAGCTGTTGGGCCAGAATTTGCCCCTAACAGCCCCTCACCAATCATTTGATGTTTAAGATGCATGCTATCTTTATCCTAGCTCACATCTGGTCAGTTATTTGCTTTGTTGAACAATCATTAAACGGACACTGACCACTGAGACAAGACTTTTTGATAGGTTTTTGCCCATATTAATTACTCATTAACTACATTAAGATAAAGAAAACCTCACAAAACTCTGCCAAAGACCAATTAATACAACATGCATTATCCAACGCATTCACTCATTCACTAAACGCCAACAGTTTTGGCAAAAATAATAAGAATTTAGTTGCAGTATACAATCATGCATTGCATAAGTATATTGGGCTTATGCAATGCATGATCGTATACTGCAACTAAATTCTTATTATTTTTGCCAAAACTGTTGGCGTTTAGTGAATGAGTGAATGCGTTGGATAATGCATGTTGTATTAATTGGTCTCAGGAGCACCTGTATAATGTAGGCATGTTTATTAGCGTGCAGACATCCTGGTTTCAAATGAAATCAAATTTTCTGTAAGAGTACTGTGATTGGCTGGCTTGGAAACCAACCACTCTTGTGGCTCAGAGGAACATGTCTTGTTTCTCATGAGACGTGCCCATAAATGTGTTAAATCAATGTACGTTACATGTGTGTCAGTGTTTGTGGATCCGTGTACATCTTTGCCTGTGTGTCAGTGTTTGTGGATCCGTGTGTATCTTTGCCTGTGTGTCAATGTTTGTTGAAATGTGTATATCTCAGTGTTTGAGAATCTGTGCCTGTGTGTGTATTACTATATCATTGCATGAGTTTCAGTCTGTGGATGTGTATGTCTTAAAGTGTATCTGTGTGTATATCTGTCCATATCAGTGTATGTAAGTGTATCTGTGTGCATATCAGTGTACGGCAGTGTATGTAAAAGTATCTGTGCATGGCACTGTTTAGGTGTCTCTGCGTGTGGTAATGTGCAACCAATGTGTAACCAGTGGCATGCGTCTTGATCTCATACATATATCAGTTGTACCCATACATGGGTAGTGCGTGTACATCTTCAATCTCCTGACATATATGAATACTTTTAGCAGAACAAATTGATTAGAAACAAAAAACTCAGAAACTAAGCCAAAGGCAGGAGGACAGTGCAGAAGGTTGCTTACTCGTGACACCTTATAGATAACCTGGAGCAATGGGCAATAGTGAAAAATGGATGGTGATTCATGATACTATTACAAAAATTAACACTTTAAAAGCAGGTCTGCTAAACAGGCCTTCCCCCAAAAGTCCTGACAGTTCCAATCTTGAGGTCCTGTCCCACCATTCCCATTTAATTCCCTGGAGTCCCTCATCCCAACTCCAGAAAAATATCCAAGGGCAACACATCATTAGACGCACGAGCACTGTGAGCGTGAGGGTGCTTTAAACAGGCACTAGGACTAGGAGCAGGGTCCTGCAGATGGGGGCCAGACAGACAGGCCCTTACCATGGGCAGGCCCATCCCTTTTCCAAGCAGGCACACCGACCCATTTTCCATGTTTGGCTGTCCTATTGGGTGACGTACCCTCTTATGCCCGCCCACACGTCTCAATATTGGGAGGTATGGTTACAGGTGAGTGAAAATGAATATTTATTTTACTTACATACAGGTGGCATCTACAATTAATTTACCCCTTAAGGATACAACTTTTGGAATAAAAGGGAATCATGACGGAATATTTCCATCATGTGCCCTTAAGGGGTTAATTATTTATTTTAATACTTTAGCCTATACTGTTAGGGTTTTTGTTTTTTTAAAGTGAACAAGTTATTTATTTATTGGAAATTTTCTCTAAATCAGCCAATTTTTGCCCATGTTTTGAATTTTAGTAAATAACTCTGTTAGCCTATAGTCAGCTCAGGAACTGCCATTTCTGATCTGTCATCAACTACTGGCAAACGTTGGAGCCTCATTTGGCAGATTGACTGTGTAATTATTTTTAATTTATTTTGCTCTCGATATTAATATAGAAATGTCCTCTATGAAAGATCCGCTGAGATGGCTGAAATCAGTCACATCACCTTATGCTTGCGCATTTAATTACCATAGACATTCAGTGGCCATCACACAATGAGATGCTCAGGACAGCTGACATAAATGAGAGGCTCAAATCAATAAGCATACAATGTTTTCTGCTTATTGTGCCAAAAGAATTGCTGATAAATGCATAGATTTGTAAAGAGAATGATCCCTTCCTCCCCTGTCAATCAATTTTTGGTATACACACACCATGTGTCTACAACTGATTGACAGGCAAGAGTGATGGAACCCTCCTACAGACAGTTCTCCTGCTCTCCATCACAGCAACTACAGTGTATGCAGGATGTACGTGGGTATAGGTGTAACATAAACCACAAACCCAGACTCATGACAGAGACAGCCCTCGAGAGGGTGTTAACTATTTTATATCTCTTAAACTATTAAAATGTATCTTTGGTAAATTATATATTCAGTGATTAAGGGGATGTTAGCACTTAATGTGAACCCAGCGTCATCACACAATTTTTTATTTTTTTTAAACAAACCCCATAAGCAATAGTAAGGATTTAATTAATTTAGATTTGTTAAAAAATGACAAGTGTCAGGTTCGCTTAACAAAATGTTTGCCTGTCCCATGTTCAATAGCCATAATAAAGCAAAATGATCTATAACAAATAATTAATGGCTTTTACAAAGCGACACTCCCAGGACATTGCATTAATACTAAATAAATATACAACCGCAGGATGGGCTGGGATCTCACGCTAAAAGATATCGCTACAGCCTGATAGATTATAATCAATGCACGCTGTGCTGTATGAGATAATGCATGGCTTTTATAAAGTACACCACATTAATATGAAAGTAATTTATAAATAGGAGCAATTCTCCCAGGCTCAGTCCCAATGCCAGCATTAAATCTGTGTGTGGGAATTATTTGCAGGGAATGGTTTCAGGGTAGCACCATCTGGCGTCCCCTCTCCTGTCTTCCCTCTTAATCTCTCTTCACGTTAACCCGCTGCTCCACTTATCTCTGGCCCTTTGCTCCCATCACACAATGACGATTTCAGGTCCTTGCACTGTGCTAGTTCCCTGTGTCATTCTGCTCTCTTATTGGGGCTGTTGTCTTTGTCTTTCCTCCTAGTCCTTTCTGTAGCTGAGCCTCCTTCATCGTCTGTCTTTCTTTGGTCCCCCTTGCATGAAGATGACGCACTTGCCACATGGATGGTCCATTATCAACTTCATTTATTGGTGGCTTATTGACGTTTACTCTGCTCTTTATTTCAATGGCCTTTGTTCGCGCTTCCTAATCTAAACTAATTTTCACACCAATGTGGAAACTTGAAGAGGAAAGGGTGAGGGGAACACTAAAGTCTTCATTCATAAGTGGTGGAAGGAGATGTTCGAAGTGAAGAGAAATTTCACACCTTGACAGGTTTCATGGGTGGCTTAATGATAGGGTTTGCAATTAATGCCTATCACTATATTTCTCTAAGCTTTTTCAGTGAAGGCTCCAGCACAGCCACACAAGGAGTCTCAGAGGTCTATAGACCCACCTGTCTGAGGAACAGAAAATTAAATGGAAGAAATTTAAAGAAAGATATAAAAAAAAAAATTCAACTCGTAATCTTTTGAGGTGGCATGACTTCATGTCAGATGAAGCTTAGAGAGTTCTTTGAAAACCATATTAACGAAGACAGAAAATGTTATTTTTCCTAAATTCTACACTTCAAAAGAATTAAGTCAAATGCCAATTTAGGAATACACCAGATTCCCTTGAAAATAAATTAACAAGGAGGGAAATGATGGCACCTTCTCTACCTTCGTCGCCTATTCAATGAGAAAAGTGTTAATGTTTAGATCAAGAGGCCCCTCAGCTCCTTTCCCCTATCCTTGGTTGGGGTAACCAGGACACCCCTAAAGTAGCTCAATGCAGGTTAATATAAGGAGAATGAGTGAATTGGCTATTAAATAATAATATTTATGTTTATAAAAAGATAATCAGCTGGTGGGTACCCACTCTCTGAGCCCATAATACTCCCAGTAGGTAGGTAAGACATGTCAAATAATAATGAAGGTCCTTCCCCAATTAATACAGAGCTCACAGATCACGTGTGCATTGCCATATACTGTAAATAAAGTAGTAATGGGATTGACTGGTTCAACAAATCATATTGGCCTAGACAGGATGACGTGGTAGAATGGAAACTCCCACTTATCACAGAGCTATTTTTTGCTCACGTATCTCAAACTGTACCTATTGATACACTGTTTCATATTATCGTTATGTTGTTGTAGAGTATGATTTGTGTCTTTTTTTTTTTTTTTTTTTTTAAATAATAGATTCATAATTTCATTGCCAAAATATGACGATTTAATGGCAGATTTTGACAATGCTGGACTTATAACATTATTAAATGAGAATACTTTCCTATCAAACAAAAGCATCGCCATGCACAGGCCATTTGGGGTCCGTAAACCATATCTGTTCGCTTAAGCAGACACATGCTCCTGACAAATGAGTGTCTTAATCTGGTCAGAAAAACTATCGAAACATCATCTTTTATGTTGGGACCACAATAAAGGAACACTAAATGAAACTGGAGATGTGCTGGATCATTATTCTATTGATCTTGTTGGATGGATGGATGGATGGATATGACTGTGAATTATTCATTGATTATAACCATCCCAGCCAGAAGTGACTGGCATTCTATGTTGGCAGCAGATATCCAACAGTGGCCCTCCCTTATCAATATGCCAGCTGTAGCCTCTCTTTGCCTTTGTAGCTCTCATTGTTGGCAAGTTCCAAGTGGTAACATTTTCAATTCTCTCAAAAAAAGGATTAAAGGCACAAGAAAGTTTATTTTTCCCCCTCGCTGGCTAAGAACAGCGAACATGAACCCAACGGAGACTAATTGACTTGCAAATTAATCGTTTGTCCCTACGCCCGATAATTACTGCTAACGATTTATTTTCCCTTTTTTTTGTTCTTTTGCTTCTGCGTTACCACGGTTTATTATAATTTTTGTTTTGTTTTTGTTTTCAGTTCCCTTTCTGTCTCTCGCTCTCTCTGTTTTAGAGGTCTCTGCTCCTAGCACCTCGCAGCTGACCCAAATAACTGCATTTTTGAAAGTCCTATATATCTGTGACACCGGGGGCCTTTAGGAAGGAAGGGACTGATGAAGTGGTGAGCAAGGCTGTGACAGACAGCTGTTTGCTTCATTCCCACGATTCTGTGCCAGCTTCTGGTTCCCATATGAGAATAGAATCCCAAAGAGGAAGAAGAGATGGGTTGAGGGGGTTACCAGTCCCTGCCTTTTCCAATTAGATCCTCATGATTGGGCATGAAGATGAGCTAAA